CCTAGGCTTAAAGAAAGTGAACTAAAGGATATGGTTCATTATAGCTACCTGTTTATAGTTTATATCGTTCTTCTCGTCATGTCCAATTGTATATGTGGCCAAAAAGAGTCCAATATGTTAGCTTTACTCATCTTTTCATGTCTTTTTAATTATATCTAGCCCCATGCCTTCTTTCCTGCTAATATCTCTTGTTCTTGGTTGTCCATGTGGTGTACAGTTGGTCGCCATTTTGTTTTACACGCCTACGCGGTCACCGCACGTGGGCGGCAGTAATGGCGTTGAGTGCTCTCTAAGTGCCCAAGTGCTTTGATTTCTTTCCCCTTTTTCTACAACTGCGCTCTAGTTGTATCATATATCAAAATACCGGCTCTTCAGAGAAAAATACAACAGCAAAAAACCAAAACCGCTGTCTTTAGCATGTAAAATAAGAAAGTTATTCAAAATCTAAGTTGACAAAGTCAGTGTGATCCTAGTATAGTGCTACACAACATAAGCAAATATGCATGTACATGTAAGTACAGAAAAAGTAATAAAAATGGAATTTCTATCTTAATCAATTAAATTTTTGCCAAAATTAATAGTCATGTTCTTATATACTAAAATGGAACATGGACGTTGTCCCAATTTTTTGAGCAACTTCGAAATTTATAAAGATGTTTATTTTGATAGGAATTACAATTGTAGTTCAAACTTTCTCTACAACAAAGTACATGTTTATGCATGGGAAAACACATTGAAAATTAATGACAAAGTCTCACCTGGTCAATTTTTGCTAAAATTTGGGCTAAGACTTAAAAGTTTTATGCACAATAAAAACATGCATGTACTATGCATCAGAAAATGTATGAAAAGAGAATTCTGTATGAGCCATTTTTCACAAAACACCCTGTACTATAGTAGCACAAGGACTTGGCCTAATTTTTTAGCCACTTCTGACAAGAAACTGTATTATACACGCAAGTAATACGCCAAAATCTTGTGGGATTAAAGTTTACTTGCAAGTACAATAAGCCAATAATGTACAGTATGATAAAAATTAATGTTGACTTACTTTTAGAATTGAACCAGGCTAATTCTCTCCTACAAGAGGCTCATAAACGTATTAAAGAACTTGAGAAGGATTTAGATGAAGAGAAACAAAAGTCGTCCTCTATAATGAAGCAGAGTTTAAGGGAAAAAGAAGAATTACTGGTAAAGATTAGTGCACTTAAACAGGAACAAGGACAACACAAAGTAAAAGATTGCCAAGATGCTTCAGTTCAGTTTGACTACCTTATACCTCATTCAGGTATTGTATGTACATGTACACTGTACATGTATGTATGTTTGAAATTTTTTTGGGAATTGGCAACAAATGCTACACAAAGTGGAACTAGTCATCTCTAACATGTACACATAAATGTACATGTGTATGGAAAGCATGAAAATTAGTGTCAATTTGTCATGTGTCATTATCATTTTTAGATTCACTAGACTCTAGCTTCATTACAGTTGGAAGTAAACTGTTTCACTTGCAAGGAGACACTCATCGTTCATTCCAATGGGAGAAATATGGATTTAGACTGCATTGTCCCGAAGGAGCAGTGTCCAAGGATACTGAAGTAGCTGTTACTGCAATAGCTGGTGGTAATTTTATAGTGCCCAAAGGTACTATGTTAGTCAGTGCAGTGTATGCAATATCAGTGTCTAAGCCATTACTACAACCACTGGTAATAGAGATGCAGCATTGTGTTGACCTTAGGTATGAAGGTCAAACGCGTTGTCTTAAGTTTGTGGAAACTCCAATGAAATATCCTTACCAGTTCATTCCTATTGAAGGAGGATCCTTTCGCGTTGGGAATAGATATGGGTCTTTGACAGCAATCAAATTCTGTTTAAATGCTATTGTAGCCGAGATGAGTAACGGAGATAGAGACAGCAGTAAAAATTTAGAGACACCATCTGAAGGTACATGAACATGTATGTATAATGGTGCATATAATTATTGTTTACATTTACATCTTTATTGAAGATAGTAAACATGATGTGATGGAAACTGATACTAGTGGAGTTGATGGTGGTCATCAATGAATAATGAAGATTGCGTGTGAGTTATTAATGACATAATTGTGTAATTATAATGATGCATGTACTTTATAGATCAGTTAATGATTGTACAGAAGATATTATTGTACACAAAGAACAAATTATGATTTTGTTGAAATTAATAAATACATTGAAGTATTCTTTTCTTTATTAATTTTATATGCATCATAATCTATAGTAGTGATGATATCAAGTTTGACAGACACAGTGATGCATGAACATGTTTATTCCCATCATATTCAATGTAATTTGTCATAGTGAACATAATTTTCATTCCCATTGCTTGAGCAGCATCATTGCTTGTTACTTGACCATGCACAGACCACTAGACCAACAAATAGTTATGGTAATCTATTAAATTGCACATGTTATAATATGATAGTATAGTCTGCTCTTTTTTATTTGGCTGTATATACATGAATTTGTGACCATAATTGACAAAAGGTACCTTATGGCTGATAGTAAAATTTGTCTTTATAGTGAAAAAAATCCAACTTCCTGTGCTCCATTTAGCATAAAATTGCTCCACAGGATGCAAAAAGTTACTACTTGTATGTAACTTCTACAAACAATGCGTGTCTAACAGAGCACTCACAGGTTGATATTTTTCATTATAATGATGATTTTAATAATATGCCGTAAGGTACCTTTTGTCAATTATAGTCACATTTGTCATTGTGTTATTTGATCTCATTATGTTGACCTTTGCGGAGATTGTTTTTAAACTTTATGTGGTACATGTATGTGTCATGAATTGCAATGCTTCTTGTACTTAATTTACTTTGTCTAAGAATATAATAACATCTCACTTCGCTCTCTCTCACTACTCTTGTGTATTTCTTGTTGATGGTACAAAATCTCTTGTGCAGTACAAATAACATTGTATTATTCTGGCAATGGAAGCTGCTGGTGATTGGTATCAAGTTGCTAGCAGGACTCACTACTAACTCATTTGTACTTATATGGACTGCCCATCATTTAACAAACAGGAAACAACAACATCAAGCATTTTCCTCATGTTCGCAATCTCTTGATCATTCTATTTGTGATGCCTTTTCCAATTATAACACTGTCTACTGGCCATTGATGTATGGTAACACAATGCTGGAGAGAATCCTAGTATGTAAATTTGTTGCTCGTTTGCTTTTTTACAGTTAAATTGTTGACATGCATCCAGAGTTTGGTGCTCCTCTCATTTGACTAATTCTCTCTCCAATACAAAACACACAT